CTCCAGCCTCCCTTGCAACCCTGAATTGGATAAGTGGAAGAGGATTTACAGATAGAGTTGTCAAATGTGAACTGTGAAACAAAGACTCTTACAGAAGATGACAGGTACTGAACTGAAGACATGAGCTTCAGCAGTCACCAATAAATCTTGGTTTCCTCTTGTAAACTGCAGAATTTGAATTCGGTGCCATTATGCACAAAGGGCCAAGCTGACAAACGACAATGGTTTTCACGTTTCAAAATGAAAACGTGCAACCTTTGAAAGCTTTTCCTATTTCTCTTTGTGAGATCAGCTTCTGCATAAACCACTGAAAGCTTTTTTTAAAATAAGGCATATTTACGCCCTTCAGGTGACTGCTTGTTGGCCTTCTGAATTTCACTAGCGCCTGCGGCTTGAAAGGCATTTTGACAATAAATTAATGTGGCTTGTTTTATATTTTGATTCATGTTTGTCTGCAGATCAAGGATTCTGTCCCTGTAGTTCTCAGTGAAGCACAGCAGCTCTCTCTTCCAATAATACCTGCATTCACTTCTGCACTGAATGTGGATATCTGTTGCATACCTCGCTTCAATTGAACGCGTACTCAGATGTTGCCCTCAGTGTGTTAGTATTGTCCAACTGAATTCAGTTTCAACAGCTTCCCAGTGTGAAGTCACACATTTTATACTCGAGTGATTTTTCTGTCGGGTTCCAAGCAGCAAGTACAAATCAGATGCTGTTCAAGGCCACCGGCAGGTTTGCGTTGCTCAAGTGTCTCGGAGCAGATGGGAGTGTTTCTTTTCCCCACATTCAAGTTTTATAAATGCCTCTTAAATATTTCAAGAATGCATGTAATACTGGAGGAATAAAGGTCTGCTGCTTTGTCTTGGTTTGTATTTTTGTGGCTCTTGTCATTGGCGGTTAAGTGTTCACGGTGTCAAACAATGTCAAAAAAATCCCGCTATGCATTCACTGACAAGCGAACAGAAACGAGGTTGGAATGACAGGTTCAAACAAAGGCTCGACAGCATTCACACACAAAGACGCAGTCACATTTTAAAAGCCCTGAAAATTTTTAAGATCTATGAAAACCTTTGTAGACAACTACATCACAGCTGCAACTGTTTATGCGAGAGGGCGAAGAGTTGAATAAACTCTGCTTTTGTCAGAATTACAAAGGCACAGGGTCATCTTTTAGATATCTCAGCCACACAGGCTGAGATATCCACTGGCTTGATCCGAAGCCAGTGGATGAATGGATTCAGAGATTCTTTAATGTCACTGTTAGACTCAAACCTACGTGACAAATAAAGGAGACTGCACAGTGTTTTAATCATGCAGAGTAAATAATGTGTACAGTAGTGTGTGAATGTCAGTCAGTCAACCAGCATGCTTTAGAGTCTTTTGAGCCCAACTTGCTTAGGTGTGCTGTATCTCTAACCAGGTCAGCTCCACCCACCAATTTCCTGTAAGAAATTGAAAGACACAGCAAATAAGGACAGGACAACGAGGCCAGCCCAGAGGCCGTCGCCAGTAAATGAATCGCTGGCATAGACAGGTTCTGTTTGCACCACCACCAGGTTATTAGACATGGCAATGGAAACAACAGCACCGGAGTGCAATTTCAACAAATTGTGAACTTCAGACAATCATTGTAGAAGCCCAGAAAAGGAAACACGTTTTATGTGATGGTCTGAGGTCTAAAATCACAAACGGAATAAAAATACTGAATGGAAACAAGTAGCAGAGGCTTTAACTAAGTTCAAAGCCAAAGGAACCAAAAGAAGGTAGAAGCCATATTTGAGTAACCGCTAACACCTGTTATTGGCACATCTATGATTCTACACTAGCAATGGATTTATATATATATATGCATATGTATATGTATATTCTTTTGCTAGTACAAAGGGAAGGAAAAATTACAGCAAGCAAACTTTTTCACCACTTGTTTGTGCAACTGCCAAACTTTCTCTGTTTGGCTGTAAAGAGTATTTCTAAAATTACGGTGAGAATTCAATGGGAACGGTGTTAGACCATAAAATGCAAAATGGTATATCGCCATTGCAGAAACATTTAATAGCCATAAATCAATCAAAAATAAATCAGTTCAACTTTTACAGTCATAATATGTAGAAATCTTCTTTTTTTTTTTTACTGTGAAAATCACTTTTTTTTTTATCACTTTTATGCTGAAAATACAAAAATATCATATATATCAACAGAAGAGTAAATAGTGGCCGAGGAAGTGTCTGGATATACTCCCAATCCAAAAAGGCCTGTGCTACCGTGACATCGCTGTGCAACCATAAGAGTGGCACAAGGTCAGGTTGAAGCACCTCGTCTCGGTTCCTAAGTCCAGTAAGATTTCCACCAAGAACAATCAGATCAAAGATGCTGCTCTCGTCGACATGCAAGGCTGCAGCTACAGCTCAGATACGCATGCAAGCATCCAGCGTGCCGATAGGCCGGCCTCGATTAACTTCAGCCAGGCGTAGCATGCTGGCACATGATAATGTGTATATACTGTTTTTTGTATTCTTAGATCGACTTGAGAATATGGTAAATTGAACCATTTCTGAGGTGTACAAGTGAGTTCATTTGTGTTTGGTAAGCAAAGGAATAATCCTGCCACTGACTAAAAATCAACTGAAATTGAAAACTACTCATAGAGTATGTTTGGGTACCTGAGAGATGTACTGAAAATAGATGTGCATTTCTTCTTCTTCTTCTTTTTTTCTACCCTGTTAAAGAATTTTTGAAAGGCAGTTAGAATCTGTTGATTTTATTTTAAGGACAGAAGTTGAAGTCTGAACCCAGCTGTACATCATCTAGTTCGTATTTGAGCTGAGTCCTTTTTTAACTGACACGTTAGAGCATCTTTTCACAGTGAGGAAAATGATGCAGAGATGAAGGTGGAGGCGGTCCAGGGGAAAGTACAGTCCAAAACAAGATTCATGAGAATCCATTGAGACCAGGACGGAAAGTGCAAATTCGGCACACGCTGCACTTTTAGACAGAGTTCAGAGTTAACACCTACCACTTGAACACCACAGAATTCTTGAAAAGGCCAGAGCTGTGAAAAAGAGACTGTCTGTCAACATCAATGTAAACCTGCTGCAGCGCTCGCTGGAAATGGATGATATTCATGAACCAGGATGAGTGGAAAATGCAGGTGACGTGGACCTTGGCAGGACTTTCATGCAATGACTTGTGATCACACACGCATCACTTTTCCAGTCCAGCTCTTTTTACTCACAATGCTCTCGTTATCACGACTGCCCACACACACACTATCCATAGACTCTTCATTAGAGCCTCTCACAGGCACACTCATCCATCCCCACAGGCAATATCACAGGCCTGCCACTACAGCATGGGTAGTAATGACTGTACAGGTCACAGCCTTACAGTTCAGTGCCACTGTAAGGATTTTTCTAAACTAAACTGTTGCTGTTACTTAAGACAGTGTGGTACTTGTGCTTGTTATGCACAGTGTTTCTTAAATGTGTTGAATGGGGCTTTAAATTTGCAATAAAGGATTTTTGGACATATAAGTGTTTTTTAAGCTGAGCAGTCATAGTTTTCTATTCTAATAACTTTACCTGCTAAATCCTCCTCTGTGTTGGCCAACTAAGCAGCCACAAAGCTGCCAAATCCCACATTAAGAGCAAGGAAAGTGAAATTCGTGGTGTAGTCCACTAAGTAGTGGCTACAACAGCCAAAGAATTGTTGCAAAGACATTGATTGCGGTTTCTTTTACATTTTTTTTTAGCTTGCCCTGGAACGTTGTTGATGGGTTTAGTGTCTGGCATGGCAGGTTCAGGTTTACTAACGTGGGGTTTCCCCCCCCTAGGTTTTATGAGAGTCTGCAGTGGATGTCAGACAATAAAAATATGAATTTATATATTTTCAGATGCAGCTTTCTGGTCCAAGGGGTTTACATTCGGGCAGTCTGAAATTTTGGCTTACTGCATGACTTTCCATATTGATCCAGCCGAGAACTCTTTTGCCGCACACCAAGGAAAAAAAAAATATATATATATTTTTCGGTACCAGTGAAATGCAGAGTTGATTGTGTTTGCTTTCTCTGGCTCTGACTCAGCTCCTTGATGTAAGGACATTTATAAAATAGCACAATCAGGAAGTTAAGTCTGCAGAAATGAATAATTAAATTAGAACAGCACTGTAGCCTGTTATGATAGCACTTACCCTTTTACTACAGTGTGTCAGGCAGGCTTTTCTCCTGTGTATCTATCATATTGACACACACAGAGCTCACCACCCGGCTTTAAAATGTCTGCAGTGCCCGTGTGTCACATAGCTTTCATTGCAAATGCCACTCCATTACTTCTGATGTCCGCTTTCATCTGCACAGAGACAGCCACTTCCTTTGCTTTTGATAATCCATCTCCTTCTCTTTACTTGCGTAAACTTCTGAGCATCAGAATAACTAAGACTAATAATTAACTTTCTTTTCTTCCTGCCTCTCAGGTACACAAAGATTGTACATTCAAAAGTGATTTTTAAATCTAGTCTGGATGTTGAAACTGTCTTGGAGACAAAAACAAAAAACGGCAAAGCAGTGAGAGGGTAGAGAGAGGGTTCTCTTTTTTTTTTCTGTCAACTTGCCTTCAGAATAAATTCAAGCAATGTCAGACATGAAAAATTCAGGCCCTTCTCATGTCGAAGTGATACAGACGGCATATGTGCTGCTCCTGTACTCACATTACTGCTGTTTGTACTGCTGAAGGGAGACAGAGACAGCAGGGCTTCGAATTTAAAAAGTTTTCCCAAAGAATATTAGGTCAGAGAGAAAGGATTAGTAGATAAGGATGTTGCCACATGGGATCCTTTAGCTTAGGAGTATTTTCTATCATGGTTTCTTTATACAGTAGGAAAAGAGTCGTTGTAAGGGTTCCTTCGCCTGTGTATTTATTACAAGACATCTTAATAGTGAGTTTACTTTTGGGGGCTAATGTTTGCTCATCATGTGCATATTTTTTTTCTGTGTGTCTCCGCAGCCGTGCTACGAGCGGGTAAAGGACTGGCTTAATGAGAACCTGGTGGCACTTTGGATCTTTGCACTATGCACAGCACTTACTCAGGTAATTACAGCTGGAAAGCTGTGTGATTTTTATTTTTTTTCCCCAAGACCCTTTAGCTCCATCCTTGCTATCTATGGCACTGCTTCAGAAAAAGGCTCCTACTTTGAGATAAATAAATCTAATACTGCCTGTTTCCTTTGCATTAAGCGTAGGAACGCAGGATTTTTGTGGACAGCTTGAGCCCATATAAGCCTCTTGTGTTACTGCTGAAGACCACATAGGGAGGTTTGACTTTCCATAAAATTCTTTTATCTCCTTTCCAGCCAAGTGATACGTGATGTGGTTTCACAATCTGGGTGGAGAAATATGCTCTGCCTGAGAACATCGATCACACGAGGCTCCTGTGTGGCTGTAGGCTGATTTTTAGTCACCCATTAGAGTCTCAGTGCCCTTGAAAACCCTGCATGCAACATCCTACGTGATAAACCTACACAGAGCAAAATGAAAACTAGATCAAAGAATGAAGAGCTTCCGGTCTTGTCGTAAATAATCTGTGGTACAGTACAACACAAGGAGTTATTTACGGTTTAAATAATTGCAAGTAAGAATTTTACAAGTGAAAAACCGAGTGAATATCTAACAGAACGTGCAGAGACTTGTGGTGTAATCATAGACTCCACGCTCGCCTGTTCAACTGCTCGTTAACACAGATATGTAATCAACCAATCACATCGCCACAACTCAGCAAACTCTATTCTGAGGTTCAAATCGAGCGTCTGAATCGGGAAGAAAAGTGATTTCAGTGATTCCTGTGGGATTTTCACACACAGCCTTATTGACGTCCGAGGTCAGAGGAGGATGGGTGGACTGCTTCAAGCTGAAAGGCAAGCAACAGTAGCTCAGAAAACCACTTATTACATCCAAGACATGCAGAAGGGCATCGCTGAATGCACAACACATCAAACCTTGAAGCAGATGAGCTTCAGCAGCAGAAGACCACAGGCTGCAGTTTACAAACTAACTCACCAAAACTGGGCAATCCGGTCATTAAGTGATGACGTGACGAATCCTATTTCCGGGCCTAAAGTAGTCTGCGTTTAATATGGCTTTTGTGTTGTTAACATGTTTAATGTTTTATATTTTCTTCTATTTAATCTCAAAAAGCTCCTAAAACAGTCAGTGATCCCTGTTGACCTCCCTCGGCTTTTATTACCGCTAATCATTTATTAGAGCTCAGTTTTTAAAACCTTAGGATGTAACTACAGCCCAGCCCATGCAGCAGTATATTAATGACTAACCTCGTATTGTGGATGGATTATCTCAGTTGTTCTCCTGGCTGAAGTTTGGTCCTTTTACAGCATCCTGCCATGCGATTACATTTGTTCCTGACCACCGAGAACACTCACGTTAACTTTTATCGAGTGGAAAAAAAGTTAGCTTGTTTATATTATGCTAACATAGCTGTGTCGCTAGCGGTCACGTAGCACATCATTATATACCAGCTAGCCAAACTTCAGTAACCCTACAAACGTCACTGCTGTTTAGTTTTCTGTCTTCATTTATGTTGGAAGTGATAACAGAGCTGTACGTTTTAATTTGTTTCCAAAACCCCGCAGTCAGGACATGCTATATTGTATTTAGATAGAAGCTAGCGAGCTAACTTCCTGCTAACTTCTAACTCCGTTAAATGTCATAAATTCCGTTTTCATGGATGCCTGGATGTTAAACTCAATTGTTACACCTGGTAGAGCAGAACGCTGATCATTTTATTAAAGATGAAAGACTTTAGACAGTTTTTCAACTCTCAGTAATGCCATAGTGATCGTTTGATATATGGACCCGCAGCGGAGTTTAGGCCCAGACACGGCTAGTGACGTCAGACTTAACGACCGGATGGAGGATTGGAACACAGTTCAGTTTGTTAGGGTTAGAATTTGGTGTAAACATCATGAAATCATATTTTGGGCTCCTTCGAACCAAATGACGATCACTCATTTTCCTTAATGACCACAGCGTACCCATCTTCCGATGGCTCCTCCCTGTAGGATAAAGCTCAGATCATTCCAAACTGGTTTCTCGGCATCCACATTCACCAGATCTCAGTCCAGTATAAACAGTGGACTTTGCTACAGCATTTTGGCTGTTACCATATTGATTTGAGAAACCGAAGGCACTGCATGCTCTTACCAACCACAAAGCCACATAAGGAAGTTCTCCACTGGCTCCATGTTTATAGACCTCCATCTTTTATCTACAGTCTGTGGGTACATATAATTATTTACAATAGTTGATGTTAGTAAACATTAGATGAACTGATGGAGCACAACCGATATTAATGATATTACTGCTTGATCTAACAAAAGGCTTGCCTGCTTATGTTACACAAGATTTTTCATTAATCATCAGTGGATATTATTCACATCAGTGGCTGCAGTTTGGCAAGATTTGCATAGTTTTTTTAAAGGCTCGCAGACATCTCTTTATTTAGCAACACACAGCTTGCACACAGCTCGAGAGAGATGTCTGAAAACCCCTTAAAGTGCAGCGTGTTTTAGGAGGCACTTTAGGAATAAACATTTTAGGAGTGGATGAGGTTTAGATAAACCCCAGAAGATATTTTTTTACTCATAGCATTAGAGACAGAGAATCGTGACAGTAAAGCAACTTAAAACCTAGAATCTGCTTATACATAAACCCAAATATATCCATAAATTCAACAAACCAGTGACTAGACAGTTCGGATAAATGAGGGATTATCATAATAGTAGTTCATATAAACACAGGCAACTGAAATTTTAAAGGTACTTATATTTTAAGACACCATGTTGACTAAAATTGAATTATGAGAGTGTACAAACCATATTTTCATCCATCTTGGCTGTGCACAAAAGTTAGCTTTAGGGAAGTTTTATGGTCAAGGCTCGAGAGAAGTGTTTAATCAGGGTTTCCTACGGTGCGTGCGACACAGCAGGGTCTACAGGAACATTTTAAAATAGGTTACAGATACTGGTAACAGCAGCCATTAAGCAAGCTCACTGAATTATGACTCTCCCACAAATCAGAAACAATAAGGGCCAGTTCTGTATAATGAAACGATGTTGATTTATTATTCTAAAAAGTTCGAACTATGTTAATGGAGCTGCATCATTTAATTCACTCGCAGTCAGGCAAACGCACACTTGGATTGCATCTGCATTGAGCCATTTAAATCTGAAAAGCAGTTTTTTTGTGTGTGTGTGCCAAAGTGATTTGCGCACACATTAGCATTGCGGTGTCATTTCTGTGTCCACAGTGAAATGTCTGAATGCCACCATTTTGCAACATCTCTGTTTGTCCCCCGTGCACAATGAAACGACTTTTCTGGCATTTTAAGCTTTAAACACTCCAGAGACCAATTTAGTAAAAGGTCTGTTTTCAGGGGAGAAAAAGGCTCTTTTAGTCTGAATGTCTGGGCGGAGAGCTGAAACAGAGAGAAAGAGACACATTTACAATTTACCTGGCTTAATGTGGACGTCCTCCTACATAGAAACACGAGAATTTATTTTAGTCTTTAACTTTAAATTAAGGCACCTTTGTTTACTTTAACTAGTTTTTTATTGGCATGCAGATGAGAAGCATACTGGCTCTATAACTACCAAGTGAATGATTCAAAAACTTGAAAAATTGTGCAAACCTGCACAAATAACCGAGCGCTAACAGTGCCCGAATATCATCAAGTCTTTCCAACTCAGTCTCATTCAAAAGTGAGGTTTTTTACCCAGTGAATCCACTGATATTTTACTTTAGATGCCAGTTTCCCGCTCTAAAGTGAATTCACACTTAGTGAATTCATTATAGAAGACAACTGCCACTTAATTAACAGACTGGATCCTCAAGTGATGTGTTACACCTTGAAAAAAGTGGAGAACCATTGAGATGCACAAGTTTGATTTTAGTGGTACAAGAACAAAGTCATCAGAAGTAGAACTATGTCCTTTAATAATGAATCACTTCAGAGGTTTTCAAACCTAACTTGAAGGTTTTTTTTCAAAGTTTCTTTCAAGGCTGAGAACAAATGCACTGCCTAAATTTGCTGAATAACTTTCCGCTGACTGGCTTTATCGCTGTGTAAAGGACCACACAGGTTCAGCCATATCTATAATGCATCATAATGAGTCTGTGTGGGATAATGTGTGTGATCTCAGGTTGCATAACACTTTATACCAGTGTCAGTGAATTGTAAATTGATCGTTACTTTTTACTGGTATCAAACGCATCATAATTATTGTGATGTTTCATTGTTATTAGTATCATTTGTGTTACTATAATTGTAGATTGTATTGTATAAAATAACGACTCTATGGATACATATTGTATGATGTATTGCATCATAGATATCATGTACAAACGTGTCGAGCCACCTCTTATTTCTTTATATTTTGCCCACAAGGAGCCAAACTTTCGAGTCATTGTTCTATTATAGTTATTCTTTGTACTCATTTTGAGTCCAGTCCTTATACCTGACCATTTTCAGGGCAATGTTTTTTGTTAGACGAACATTTAAGAATAAATAAGTCATCTAACTCAGGGGATGGTGCTGTGTCTACAAATAACAGACAACTCATTTTAAATTGTATCTTTGGGCACTTTGTTACTAGCAGCAGGTCACAAAAAATTATAATCTGTTCTCATTTCTTTAGCTGAATCTATGAAAAATACCAAAGATAGCATAGTTTTACAGACTTGAAATAGTATTTTCAACTCCAACAATGAGATTCCCAAATAGCTAATAGCTGGAAACTTGAAATATCTTAGAATGGCATGCAGTGTGTCCTTTATAATTAATCCTAAATGAATAGTAAAAAATCCAGCAAAAACCTGACACATAGCTGACACTGGACTTTCAACTAAGCTGTTCTCTGAAGCATTTCAGCCAGTAGTGTTGATGATCTCTTCAAAACTGAATTCTGATTGCAGATAAGTACTGTTAGATTTTCATTCACTGTGCAATACCATCTGGCAGCAGCTTCATTTTTCAGTATGACAATGATCCCAAACACACTGCCATCACAATAAAAGCATAGCTGGATAGAAAAACACAGTGGAACACTATCAGTCATGGATTGGCCTCCCAGAGCTCGACACTCGAGATTATTGAAGGAGTGTGGGATTGTGTTGAAAAAGAACTGTACAAAAAGTCAACCAACATCCTGAAGACTACTTAAAGAAATGACAAAACTTGACTAAGAGAGCTCAGACTGTGTTGAAGAATAAAAGTGATCATTTTTAATTTAATTCAATTGTATTTATACAACACCAAATCATAACAACAGTCGCCTCAAGGCACTTTATACAATAATATAACAGAGAAAACCCCAACAATCATGTGACCCCCTATGAGCAAGCACTTTGGCGACAGTGGGAAGGAAAAACTCGCCTTTAACAGGAAGAAACCTCCAGCAGAACCAGGCTCAGGGAGGAGCGGCCACTGGACGTGACCGGTTGGGGTGAGGTGAGGAAGACATAGCAAAAGACATGGTGTGGAAGTGAGCCAGAGATTAATAATAAGTAATGATTAAATGTAGAGAGGTGTAAAAGCACACAGTGAGTGGAAAAGGTGCCTGAATAAGCATATTATAACCGATATGTGATATTGACTTTCAACCTCTGTTTTTGTCTTACTTAAAAAAGATAAAGCAGAATATTTAGCCAACATATCTTACACTTATTTGAGTGTTGGGACTGTCTCCTTATCATTATCAGAGATACACTTCCTCTTCTTTCAGCTGCTCGCCACAGCGAATCATCACATCTGCCTCCTCAGTCTATTACTAGCATCCTTCTCTGTCACAGGAACCCTCTAGGTGATCTGTGATCGTTCTCTCTTCCCTAGCAGCTCTGTCTTCACCATCCTTTGTCCAATAAGTTAAGTTAGCTACACTAAGAGTTCGCTGTAACAGTGGGAGAATATCTTTTTGTCATGTATGGTTGAGCAGGTACACAGCGATCCAAAAAGTGAGATGAAAAGTTCCTTTTATATTTCACTCCCAGATCTCTGAACCCTTTAATGGCCGGCCTGTTTTTGTTGTGTTTGTGCAGGTCCTGGGTCTGGTCTTCTCCATGACAATGTTCTGTCAGGCAGTGAAAGTGGAGACCTTCTACGCCTAGTGATCGACCCTTCCCTTCCACCCTTTGGCGCACTTGGATTGTTATTCATCAGAGAGGAACGGCCATAGACCCACCCTGTTCTCCTCGTTCCTCTCTCCCTGCCTCTCCACCTGCTCCCCCTTCCCCCTCTTCTTTCCAGCGGTTGTCCTCTCTGTGACATTCGCTCTTGGATGTCACCGGTCAGTTTTCTTGCTAACTATCAACAAGCACAGTGTCAGTGTAATACCTGAGTTCCTATGGTTTGCTCTGTGTCGAAAGCTAATTTCTGTGATACATTTTATGAAACAGTATTACGAACATGTATAAAAAACAAAACAAAACAAAATCCAGTGTAACCCCTTTTTTAAAATCTGTGTTTCGGTTTTAAATTATTTTATGGTTTGTATGTGTTTTCAAAACGAGAGCTACAGTTGAGCAGTGTGCACTGTGTAAAGTGCTTTAAGTGCATGTCTCCTGCAATGATGTGTATTAAATGTTTTGGCTCAACCTTATCTTGTCATTCCTTAACAGAAAACACCATTCTGGTTTAATGTGTAGTCATGCTTTTTTCTGCCTGGTATCCTGGATACTAAACATGAGCAATAATGGATAAAAGGGAAAAAATGCCACGTAAAATTGTTAATTTGGCCTCTCTGCCACGGCACACTGCAGTCATTAAAACATTTTGTAGCGCCTAACTAATCAGGCATTAATTAGATACTTTAATGAAACCTGTGACCAAGTCTGAAGCTTGTGACTTTTTTATTTTTTTATTGGCTGGAGTTTTTCATGAGACACGGGAATAAAAGGAGGAATTTAAATGAACAGTACAGTAGAAGGAGCCTTGAGACTGCCCTGGGGCAATTTCCCTTCCAGCACCAATCAACGCACCAATGACAAAGACTCATCTTTAAAGTCTCCTCTCGCCCTTTTATGACTCCCTAAGTTCCTTTTTTCTCCTCACCTTGGACCGTCAACTATAATACAAGAAATACACCGAGTGTGTACACCAGAGACAACCTTTGATTAAATAACCCCAAAGGGGGAAAACGCTTTAAGACTTGTTTTCATCTGTAATTTAAAGTGCTGCAGGTGCTGGAAGTCTTTTTTGCTTTCATTGTGATTTCTGGTCCATTGCTTCTTTTTATTTTCTTTAATTACAAAGTCATGACCTCAAAGGGCAAAAGTTCTAACATTATCAAATATGTGGAAATAGCCCTCCTGAAATCAACCCAAGAAATTACAGTCAGCAGCTAGGTAGAGCTACAGGCCTCATTACTGTTTTCATATGAATCCAAATGGACCATTTTCAGACATATACACAAGTGTTTCTTTTACCATACATGTACAGGATTATGGGAATGTTGGAAATAGGAAATGCAATAAACTGACAGAGCCTTTAACGATTCTGGAGATATCTTCAAAACAGCTTTTAGTGTTAAACCACTTTCCCACCAGAGAGTTGCAGATAATGGTTGCACCTGAGAGGCATAAACGGGCACTATTTTACAGAGAGGAAGAAGCTGAACTTAAAGATAGCATTAAGGCTCTGAGAAGAAATAAAATCTTTAAGTAATACGGTGACAAAAATGTATATTGTGGACCTTTTAATGCATGTCAGAACTGGGTGTCCTGTCATGGCTCGCTTTTCATTCTTCCATTTGCATCCATGTAATGGACCTGAGCGTGCATTACTTGCCCCAAGTTCACATAAATGGCATGTAAATACTACAATTCTTGCTATTTTACCAATTGATATGAATGTACAGCAATATTCACTGATTACTGATATATATATATATATATATATATACCGGCCAATCACATGGCAGCAATAAATTTAGGCATGCAGACAGGGTCAAGGTGACCTGCTGAAATTCAAAGTGATCATCAGAATGGGGAAAGGGTGATTTAAGTGACTTTGAACGTGGCATGGTCCTTGGTGCTAGATGCTGCTGATATACGGGGATTTTTCCGGCACAGCTTTCTCTGGAGTTTAGAGAGATGGTCTGAAAAAGAGAAAATATCCAGTGAAAGGCAGTCGTCTGGGCAAAAATGCCTTGTTGATGTCAGAGGAGAAAAGCGAGACTGCTTCCAGCTCATAAAGAAGCTAAACTAACTCAAATTATAACCAAGGTATGGAGAATAGCATCTCTGAATGCAGAAAACAGAACATTGAAGCAGCTTGGCTACAGCAGCAAAGGACCACCCCAAGTCCCACTCCTGGCAGCTAAGAACAGAACAATCTCCTATTGGACAATAGGAGGGTGGACAGAAAAATGTTGCCTGGTACAAATTTTAGTCTAAACAACATGAAAGCAGGAATACATGCTGCTTTGTATCCACAATCCAGGCTGCTGTTGGTGTATTGGTGGTGGGGATATTTCCTTTAGCACACTTTGGGCCCAGGTTAGTAACTGAGCAGTGTTTAAACACCAAAGACTAAATCTCATTGCTGCACGTGGCCAGACCTTTAGGACCACAGTGTACCATCTTCTGGTGGCTACTTCCAGCAGGATAACGTATCATGATACAAAGCTCACATCACTTCAGACTGGTGAGGATTGTTTCCGGCCTCTTGTGGAATAGATGCCACAAAGCATATAGACAGTTCTGAAAGCAAAGATGGGGTTTTACACATTATTAGCTAGGATATCACTGAGTGATCCCTCCTCACTTTGAAGCCTCAAGATTAGCATTTTTGCCATCACCACATTTGACTTTTGGACCCAATATCTGGGCAAGAGTGATAAGCACCATATTAGAGGTTCAGTTCAATGTCTCTAATTAGGGGAGATGAGCCCTAAGACATAATCCTGACTTTCTGTTCTAACAAAATCCCCATTGCTAGTCATTATGAAGAAGAAAATTAGCCACAGAGACCAAAATTATCTCTGTAGCATGCTGTAAAAGCATGCAAGTCTATGATGACTGACTCACTTGCTTTTGGAGTCAGCCTCTAGTGGCCATTAGAGGAACTGCAGCTTTTGTTTTTCCAGCCCTGGAGGTTGCTGCTTGCTTTTCACACATAAATAGTGCATGAGAACTATGTCAAAAGTATGCACTCCAGTAGCGGTGTTGGATCCCAGCATGCAATGTGTGAAAGACAGGAAACACGATGGAACAATCACAAGTCAATCCCATGGCCCACATAGAGACAGAAGCAGCTTTCACTCACACATTCACACATTTATTATTCATGTGGTATATCCCTGTTAAACTGAAGCATTTTCAAGTAAATCTCATACAAAGCACACTTTCAACAAGCACTTCCATTTTTCTAGAACATGTAATTGAACTTAACCATCCAGCAAGGACACCGATAATACTGATAGGATGTCAAAGACACGCAAATGTGACATTTCAATAAGAAATTTAATACATATGAGAATACAAGGAGACTCAGAATGGTGTCAGCACACAGCGGTTCGGGATTCTGTGTTATGTAAGAGTAAAGTTTGAAAATTTTGCGGTTTTGGAAACAGTGGACCACAGTAAGATCTCATATCTTGGGCTTGTATTTGAGTTTGTTTGTTTTTTTGTGTGTTAGGATGCCGGGGTCGTTGACCCAGTGTTTTGAGTTTATTATATCATTTATCATTTCTAGTCTTTGGTTTCTTTGTTAGAGTTCTATCTTATGGTTTATGTCTCTGTGTCTGCCCTGGTCCCACGTCTCTGTTCCCTCTGTTGCAGTGCCTGCCTGTGAGTCTATGTCTGTAAGTTCAGTCTGTGTTCTGTTTCCTGTTTTACTTTGAAAGTCCTTGTCTCATGTAAATGCTTCTGGTTGTGCTTCCTTTTGTCATGGTCCTGAGTCTGAGGACTCAGTGTTTTGTGTTTCCTTATGCTTTTGTTCATTCCGAGTGTGTATTCTGTTGTGATTTTGCCATTTGTTAGGTTTCTGTTCCTTGCCTGCCTGCTCCCACTTCTCTGTGTTCCCTCTGTCTGTCCATGGTGTTATTGTGTCTGTCAAGTTCAGTGTCCTGTCTGGTTCTCTGTGTCTGTTAGTTTCCTGTTTTATTCTGAAAGTTTATGTCTCATGTCAGTGTGTTCAGTTTTACCTCTCCCCTGGCTCGTTAGCCTAATTGCTCCCAGCTGTGTCTCCCTCCTGTGGCCCATTCCCTGATTACTCCCCGTGTATTTAAGCCCTGTGTTTTCCTGTGCTCTCTGTCGTGTTGTCTGTTTAGTTCCATGTCAGTCTGCATTATTCTGTTACTCGGTATTCATTCTGTGTCTTTGTGCATTTTACTCCTCCTCCCGTGCGTGTTTGGTTTAAGTTTTGTTCGTTAGTTTTCCCAGTTTAGGTTTGTTTACTCCCCGCCCTGCTCTTCCTGTTTTGTCACCTTCTCACCCGCTGTAAATAAACACTCACTCGCACCCCAGCCGGTACCTGCATTTTGGATCCTTTTTTCAATACACCACACGACTGCCCCAGCCGTGACACCTTTGTCTCGTTAGGCCTGATTTGCTCCAGTTGTGTTTCCCTCCTGTTACCCATTCCCCGATTACTCCTCTGTGTATTTAAGCCCTGTGTTTCAGTTTGTCTGTGTCATGATCTACTGTTTACGATGCTGTGTGGTCTGTTTGCCTGAGTTTGTGGTTTTTGGAGTCTCAGTTTTGTTACATTTTTTGAGTTCAGCATTAAAGCTGTTTTGAGTTCATGTCTGTCTCCGGAGTCTGCACTTTGGGTCCTTTTCCTGCTTGCACACAGCCGCTCCTTAACATTTTGCCTGACTTGCTCTTACAAGAACGAAGATGTTGTTAAATTGGTAAGACATGTGTGGGAATTTCCTCAGCTCACTAATATCAAAACAAATATCCCTAGATTTTTTACATATTGATTTCAGCTTTGTCAGTTATAAACATTGGACCTTTATTACCTTGTTTTTGTAGGTTTTATTGGACCAACAATGAATGCAAACAGTACATGAAAATTATAGTCCTCGGTCCTTCGGTGAAAGAAAGCAGCCACAGCTGAAACCTTATTTCAACAAACAATGTGGATATTAAAATTCCCGCTCCCTGCCTGTAATGGCTCAGAACCTGCAATCATACAGAAAATAGAAAATATTCTAACCCCGGTGGTGATCATTATCCTCAAACCGCAACGAAAAAGAAAAGACAGTGTGTTGGTAAAGTGTAAAAGCAAGGTTCAGGCTGAGCTAGGTTTAAATTCCAAAAACTAAATCTTTAAAACTTTAAACAAAATAAATCAGGGGATAGACAGCCTTTTTTTGAGGTTTCAGTTGGAAAAAACACACAAAAATAAATGAAAAATTACTACAAATTCACGTCAGAGGATCAGACGAGGGACATGTGATCAAAAAGACAGAAAACACTTGTTTTTTTTAGTGTGTGTGTGTCTCTTTCACTTTCTTGCACCTGTGTAGTAGAGTCAAGGGTTTTTGTGAAGCCCATTGTGTCACATTCTGTCCACGGTCAGACTGCAATAGTCTGGATACAAAGAAAGTGACAAATCAGCAGCTGCAAAAAGCCCACAGGTGTGTGTAG